TGCTAACAGCCATGCATTTTAATTTATTGTATGTAAAACATCCTTATTTTGTTCTAAAATGTTATGTACTTTATCCCAAATGTTAATTAATATAGAAATTGATTTCAATAATGCTGATCACCAAAAAATATTTCATTTGGCGATAAAACAAATTTTTTGTGTTCTTGAAAATGAAAGACTTTTTGAGGGTTATTATCTCACAAGGAAAAGTTAGGGTTTAAAGTTAATATTTTTAAATGATAAAATATTTTTCTAAAGCTTTCAGAATTTCTAGCATTAACTAATTTATAATACACATTTAGTTGAATTTAGGAGAGTAACTGCAATATTTGATAATTTGTTTTGCTAATATGTTTCTCATTTAGCTAACGTTTTGATTTTTTCACCATGTACAATCTAAATAGCTAATACACTTTTTTAAAAGCAAATAAGAACATTGATAGAATTCTTCTACATAAGTACAATACTATGTCTTTGATGATAAAATACTATGTGTTTGATGATAATATACTATGTCTTTGTGCTAGAAAATTGTGTTCATTGGCGAGCGAGCGCAGCGAGCCATGGTTCACGGCGTGAACCACATAGGATTGCGTAGCAATTTTCGGGGGTTGGCGAGCGTTAGCGAGCAGGGGGTGGAGCCTCCTAGTACAATATAATTAACTGAATGACCTCCAGGTTGATTTACCAATTACAGGTCCAATAACTACTAAAAATTGTATAGGGCATGTAATATTGTTCGCTAATGCGTGTAGGCTCATTATTTAATAAATTATTTTTTTGCGTATCGGAAAAACAAACACTTATCCTTCAATCAAAAACAATAAATATCAAGTGTAATAGATGTAATTGCTATAAAAACTACATACTTTAACGTATACAGTTCAATTTTAAACCAAATCAAATTCATGTTCTTACAATAATGAGTTATGTTGACTTAAAGTTGTAAATTCTTATTCAATGTAATATGTTACAAATGAATTTAGTTATACAGTCATTGCTAAACTTATAACAGTCCCGAAAAATAAAAATGTGACTTGTTTCCACACATTGGTGCAAGATAACATGTTTTGTTACAGTTTACTTTATTACAACGAGGCTTCGCCCCCTGCTCGCTAGCGCTCGCCAACCCCCGGAACTGCTTTCGCAGTTTATTGGATACGTTATTAACATCCAGCCTTTGTATACTTTTTCGAACACTGAAGTTCCGAAAGCTTTTCACTGTAGAAAATTCTAAACCTGTGCATTTCAATATTAATTTGAAATTGCAAACAGTTCACATATTTTTCTTAATCACACTATTCTAAATTTCAGTTGTTGAGAAAAGTAACTGTTGTAAGTTTTGTTTTAAAGTCTTTCCCACCAGAGGGCTAAAACCATGTGTTGTAAAACAATATGAAATAGTACTGAACGCCGGATGTAAAGCATCGGCTTCGATGAAGATAATTTTGTGAGAATTTTTTTGATAATTCGGTGAGAATTCACCCGATTAGCCATATGATTCTTACTACGTGCTCTTGCGCGCCGAAGCCTATCAATTAAAAATGAAAACTGTTGCCAACGCGAGAAAAGAAATATCATCGGTTTTATTGATACATACGTATTAGCGTTTTATATAATATGGATAGATTGTTATTTTTTTAATTTTTTATTATTAGTGTAATTAAAAAAAACTGAATTTGTTTGATATTTACTGACCACAAATAAAAATTTCAATTGATGTAACTCTTCATTTTACAGCTTTGCCTATAAATTATGGAAAACTGACATTAAGTTAAAATCCATTATTTCTAAATCTCCAGTTTTTAACCTTGAAAGTGATACCTTGTTGCTTAAAAAATATGAAGTTTAAAATTTTTGTCATCTGGTTGATCATAACTTGGAATTGCAAATCTAAAACACTGTGCAGTGCGGAACAAAAATAAATAATATAAGTTTCATTTTCCTTCTTATTAATAAACACATTTGAATAAAACTCTATTATATGATTATATATCATTTAACGTGTTTCCCATATATTTCTTAGTTCTCCCCAACTTTTAGGATAAAAGAAGAAACAGTTTCTGAAATATCATCGCTAGAATGCAAGCAACGTTTACAAACTTTTGACATAGTGATTGCTACAAAATTCAAATTTTGAGTCGAAAATCAAATATTTACCAAAAAAACAGTAAAATTAAATGTTAACGTATAATTAGTTCGTAAAAGAATCCGTCTTTTAAAAAAATATAAAAGGCTAAAATAAAAATCGAAAAAATAAGTATCCATGGAATAATTGTAACAATTTGCGATTTTAAGAAACTGATGACTTTTTCTGAGATAAAATTATTCACTGATTTCATTGGATGGGAGTACAAAAGCTTTCAGAAAGGGTGCAATAAAAAATCTATTATTAAATTGTAACCAACTAATTTTTGGAGAATTTTATAAAGTGAAAAATATTAAAACATTTCGAATTACTTTGTCAAAAGAAAAAAAATACCCCCAAAGAAAAAGAACATACTTGAATAAATAAATTCAAATCACTGAATAGAACAAATAAATAAATAAAAAAACTCACGCTTTTATAAAAAAAAAAAAGTAATCTCCTTCTTCCACCTCCACAACAATCTTTGCCTTTCCTAAACTGCAGTCTCCAAATAGGTCGAAAGTTTTTCCATTCAACCATGACTGGTCAAAGGTTTTTAGCAACCACGAGAGAGTTATAAGTGGTATTGAAGTTTAACAGGGTTATAATGGATCAAATTTAAACTCAAGCAAAGTATTGCTTAGTCAATTATATTTCAACTGTTTGGTGATAAATTTCTATCTAAAAAAGGGAATGTAATGTATGGTAAAATAATTTGAAGAAAAATTCCAGCTTTTCTTTAAGATTCCCTGACTTTTCCAGAATAAAAAGATTTCCTGATAATTCCAGGTGGGTGGCCATCCTGTTACTTGCTGATCCTATTAGTCACTGAAGACTGTGTAGTGGTCCTAAATAGACCACCATTAGAATGTGATTTTGAATGCTGAACTTAAATTATAAAACATAAAAATTGAGACAGTTAATACAGCAGGTGTCAGTTAGAGTAATAAATCATAAAGTATGCAAACAACTAAGGAAGAACTCCATTATAATAACTTTCAGCATTCAAATAACATAGTATAAGAGCTAGTAAACATTATAGAGTAGGTACTTTATATTGGCTATTTATAATTTCAAGGTGGTTATTTATAGTTTCATGCAAGAAGTACCAATGCTAAAATAATTCCACAATTTTCAAATACCTGGAGTTTGCTTCAAAAACTGGTCTAAACATTTCAAAAAAGTTTTCTTTGGAAAAGTTATTGACAGAAGGTACAGAGTCATCAAATTCAGGGTCTACGCTGTCGTAAGACTGTCGCTTTATTGGATTGCCTAAGATTTCATAAGCTGAAATACAAGACAGAATTATACTACTTGACGCAATTAAATTATGAAGGGTGTAAGAAATACCAATAAAAGATAACAAGAACTATAAGTAACGGTCATTATAAAATAGCATACAAAAAAAATATTCCAAGCTGCATTAGTATTAGTAAATAAACAAGAGCAATGATGATAATAAACAAAAGACTAAACTTTATAAACTAGTTAAGGGAAAGAGCTACTAAAACTAAACAGGTCAACTTATTAATCCTGAATAAAGTTCATGACAATATAGACAAATTATTTACAATATTTGCATAAATGGTGTATAGATGATAAATATATGTGCATGTTTGCATGCTATGATCAGATTTTGTCCAAAAATCTAGAAGAAGATATTTTTTTCATTAAGCCCCACAATACAATAATTTATATTTTTGACAGAAAGAAAATTTATGATTTTTAAACTACAATGAAATGAATTTTATGTGCAATTAAACAAAAAATTTAAAATGAGTTATTTAAAGAATCCCTTTTTTTCTTAATTACCAATACTAATTAGGTGCAATCATAGGACTTATCATAGTGGTCCTTTTCGACAAAGTTAAAGGGCTAATATCGACTTCCGGGATCTCTCTAGATGAGAATACGTCTCGAGTCGTTGTCCAGATTGAATCTATACTCATCGCTGAAGAAAATCCACTCCCAATCATCTTCTGTCAAAGACAGAGATGTTTTCTGAACCGTGCTAGATAGTATTTTGTGGTTCACTGTAAACGGCACGCATGCTGCAGGACACCTGTATTAAGTTTCTAGTAGACTGTTATACGTAAAATAGATTTTTCTGCTGCATTATGCAGGTTGCGAGACAGTTGTGCCGATTCCACGAAGCCACTTTTTGACTAGAAATCGCTAATAATGGTTTTAACCTGGCATTGTTTCCCTTATGTGGTTTTGATCAGGTTGGCGAACCACTGCTTCCCCCCTCTCCCTGTGAACTATTTCCGTAAAATGAATACCATATTTCTCGAAACCCTGAAATCCTTACGCGTTCAAGAGTTCGTGGGTCAATCACAGGCCGGCAGAAGACTCCCCGTGTAGTGGATGGTGACTGATGCACGTTAAATATGTCGGGGTCTCAAAGTCCTTCAAGTTCCCTTGACAAATCAATACCTCTGGCAGTATTGATTCAGGAGCTCCCTTTTCTTCTTGATTGGTATCAAAATTACAAGGATACTGAGTTGAACCTAGGTAGTCGTAAACCCAGAATTGGGGCGGCTGTTCAACATCGGTTATATTATAAAAATAAAATAAAAAACAAGTAGCCTGTGACTGGTCCGCTTTGTTTGTTTCAACTCCTCGCCATCGTGTTGCATCGTCTAGAGTCTAGACCAGTGATTATCAAACTTATTTCTTTTATCGCCTCCTTTGAAAATCAATTATTTTTCAGCACCCCCCATTTTTTATGCACCCCTAAAACTTAAAAACCACAATTTCATTACTTTAATTAATTTAGTTATACATATTAGTCGGTTCTGATGTTTAAACTTACATTCTAAACTAGAAATTTTTACCAGTGAGAGCAAATAAAACCCAACTTTATAATATTAATAATATATTTTAATCAAATTAAAGGAAACAATATAAATATGTAATCAGTTTTCGTTTTTNAGGGAAAGAGCTACTAAAATTAAACAGGTCAACTTATTAATCCTGAATAAAGTTCATGACAATATAGACAAATTATTTACAATATTTGCATAAATGGTGTATAGATGATAAATATATGTGCATGTTTGCATGCTATGATCAGATTTTGTCCAAAAATCTAGAAGAAGATATTTTTTTCATTAAGCCCCACAATACAATAATTTATATTTTTGACAGAAAGAAAATTTATGATTTTTAAACTACAATGAAATGAATTTTATGTGCAATTAAACAAAAAATTTAAAATGAATTATTTAAAGAATCCCTTTTCTTTCTTAATTACCAATACTAATTAGGTGCAATCATAGGACTTATCATAGTGGTCCTTTCCGACGAAGTTAATGGGCTAATATCGATTTCCAGGATCTCTCTAGAAGAGAATACGTCACGAGTCGTTGTCCAGATTGAATCTATACTCATCGCTGAAGAAAATCCATTCCCAATCATCTTCTGACAGAGACAGAGGTGTTTTCAGAACCATGCTAGATAGTATTTTGTGGCTCACTGTAAACGAGACGCGGGCTGCAGGACTCCTGGTATACGGGACACCTGTATTAAGTTTCTAGTAGACTGTTATACGTAAAATAGATTTTTCTGCTGCATTATGCAGGTTGCGAGACAGTTGTGCCGATTCCACGGAGCCACTTTTTGATTTGAAATCGCTAGTAATGGTCTAAACCTCGCATTGTTTCCCTTATGTGGTTTTGATCAGGTTGGTGAACCACTGCTCCCCCCCCCTCTCTCTCTGTGAACTAATTCCGTAAAATGAATACCATATTTCTCGAAACCATGAGATCCTTACGTGTTCAAGAGTTCATGGGTCAATCACAGGCCGGCTGAAGACTCCCCGTGTAGTAAATGGTGACTGATGCACGTTAAATCTGTCGAGTCATATAGTCCTCCATGCTTCCATAACAAATCAATACGTCTGGGGATACTGATCCAGGAGTTTCCTTATCTTCTGGATTGGCCCAAAAATGACAAGGCTACAGATTTGAACATCAGTAGTCGTAAACCCAAAATTGGGTCGACTGTTCAGCGACGGATATAAAAAAGCAAGTAGTCTGGGCCGGGATAGTCTGGTTGGTAGGGCACGGGGCCCATGTCCAAGAGGTTGCGGGTTCAATCCCCACCGACCGAAGACTCCCCGCGTAGTGGATGGTGACTGAAGCACGTTAAATATGTCGGGGTCAAAAAATCCTCTAAGTTACCATGACAAATCAATACCTCTGGGAGTATTGATCTAGGAGCTACCTTTTCTTCTTGATTGGTTTCATAATTACAGGGATACTGAATTGAACCTAGGTAATCGTAAACCCAGAATTGGGCCGGCTGTTCAACATCGGTTATATTATAAAAATAAAATATAAAACAAGTAGCCTGTGACTGGCCCACTTTGTTTGTTTCAACTCCTCGCCATCGTGTTGCATCGTCTAGACGATGAAGACGATGAAGATTGGCGATACTAAAGATGGGTAAACAAAAAGAATGTCAAAGAAAAAGAAAAAAGATTGTGCTATGCTAAGATGCTTTAAAACTTTACGCAACAATCTTTGGGGAACAAATTAGCGTCATTGCCATATGATGTCACAGGCTACTACGTGACAAGGTGCGCGCGAAAAGCTTAGCTATCATTTCATAACTTATAAGCGTATTGTATGCTGCTTTTTATTTATTTTTTAAAAACCGTTCCTTTCTTTAATTGATTTCATCAAAGTAAAGTGACATTCTTTGAAATGAGGCAAAAAGTAGTACACCATACAATTCTAATTTTTTTTTATCAGTAAAGTAAATAAAACATAATAAATTATTAAAAGTCATTTTTGCATGAAATTATCTTCTGATAAATAAATTTTTAAATTGTGTGCAAACTGTTACTGTTTTCAATTCGCTTAAATAGTTCTCGAGAAATGGCGAAATACGCAAAAAAACAAACAAAAAAAATTAACATTAAGAGGACCAAACTTTAAGAACCATATTTTTCAGTTTGCTGCTACTCCTTGATCAGTAGCAATTTGTTAAAATTTCAAAAGAAAGGGGGTTACAGTATTGTTTTTCATATATGTGCAGAAATATTTCTTTAAATATTGTTTAAACAAGATTTTTTTTGTAAATATATATATGTCATAGAAAGTGATAATAAATGAATTTTGAAAAGTAGATTATTAAATGAAAGGTTAATGAAAAAAAAAATTTTTTTAAAACTTATCCATTAAAATTTTGATTTCTTGGTATTAAATAATAAAAGAAAGTAATTAAAATGTTATAATATTAAATAAAAAATTGATAGAAAAAGATATATACAATATTTACAACATATGGGTAAGCATTCCAAAATATGTATAATTTTTTTTATATAATTAAACTTTTAGAATATTATCATTATCAGAAAGAAAATTCATTAATAATAATAATTTGGTTTTAATTGTATTGTTAGTCATGAAATGTTTTTGCCAGGTCGGTAGATTAGTGATATTCGATGCACGAGTATGCCATGAGGCTGTATAGATGCATCCAGTAAGATAGTGTTCTGAAGTGCCCAAAAATAGCATGGAAAAGGAGCTTGCCCAATTAAAAACCAGACTTCTTGTTTTGATGGTATCGTCTTAAAATAATTTACTTTATTAATAATTTTATATAATCTTCTTTTCTTATCTGAATTGTTCCAATAATTTTGCCAAATTTGTGATAAAGAGTTCCGAAGTTGATTCTTGAGATGTGAGATAGGGAAGGGATATGAGTAATTTTGTTGTTTAGCTGTCGACAAGTATTGTCGTAAGTACTGTATTGATAATTTATATTGTTATAGGAAATGTCTTTTAGAGTTGAGTTATGATTATTGAATACGATAACGACGCAATCTGTTCTGCGAGAGGTGAGAATCCAGCTAAGACTTGTAGAAGTGGAATGGTAGGCTCTTGTGATATTCAGAAGAAATTTCCTTTGGATTGAATTTAAAGTTCTTGAGATTCTAGGTGAGATTTTTTGGACCATGCACATCAACCGTGGGCTAAGGAAGGGATTATTACAGTTTTATATATGAGTTTATGAGCTCTCTGGTTCATGCCCCGGGATTTTGCATTAATTTTATAAAGAAAAGTGAGTATTTGGCTTGATTTCTCCTTCAGGACTTTAACATGTGGACCCCAGTTAAGACTCCTATCTAATATCACCCCCAAATATCTAAACTGGTTCTTTTGTAAGATTTTCTGGTTGTTTATTTTGAAGATCGGACCCCTGCTTGAGTTGGAGAAAGGGATGAAAACAGATTTGTCTATTGCTTGATTGAGATTGATTGTTAGCCAATTTTGAATAATATTGAGTGTGTTGTTGGTATTAATTTCTAATTCTCTTCTTGAATTTCCAAATGTTAATAGAATAATAACGTCGACAAATGCTTGGATAATTTGATTGTTCATATTTGTATTGAGCAAGCTATTGATTAAAAAATTCCAAGCTGTCGGACCTATGCTCAAACCCTGTGGGCAACCTTTGAGTATATGTTTTGTATTGAATCCTTGATTTGTTGATAGAATAGCAAATCTATTTCTGTTGATATCTTCTATCATGTGACATAAATTTTAAGGAAGATTTTAAGTTTAATTTTTTTTATAAATTGAATTGTTATCAAAAGCGCCTTTAATATCAAGGGAGTTGGCTGCGACGTGTTTAAAGTAGTTTTTGAGATGTTTTAGATTATCTAGAAAATTTTGAAGTGCATGATTTATAGATTTGCCGAAACGAAAACCGAATCGTTTGATAAAATTTTATATTTTTCTATATAATAGTTGATTCTCTTGGTAATAAGTTTTTCTAGAAATTTGCCTAGACAAGGGAGTAGTGTAATTGGCCTGTATGATGATAATAGTTTCGGATTTTTATTGGTTCTCAGAATTAGCAAGACTTGCCCTTTTTAAAATGATCTGGAAAGCATTTGAGTGAGAGCACATTCTGACGCATTTAATTTACGACATTCACTAATATATCGACGCTGTTAACTGATAATTTTTTAGTTCATTTTCTGCGTTTTTTTTAAATGTAAGATTCTGATATATGATATTATTGCGACACGCGATTAGGAAATTGAATTGTCACTTTTTGATATTGCTTTCGACGCTATTCACACAAATTCATATCTGTTTCCGGGCATTATTAATATATTTATTGCTTTTCGGGCATTTCGGCATGGTTTTTTGAAATCTGATATTTTTATGCAAATTTGATAATTAGATATTGCGCAACTTACTAGTTTGACAACAATAAGTTTTTAAATTAATTTTTTTGTTGCCATGTTTCGGAAAATTGTCAACTTTTAACAATTTATTGTAAAAATAGCAATCTCACCTCGAACTTAGTAGCAAACAATCGAATTTCAGTCGCTATTAGTGGCTTTCTCTTCCCTCTTAAAAATAAAGGCCGCTACCTAAAATTACAAAGAAAAGAATGAGAAATCAAATATTATAATAAGTATTTCAAAGCACACAAGTTCGAAAATTCAGGAGAATAGGGGGAAAGAGAAGGAACTCAAAAGAGATGAATTAATTTTCCTAATACATTTTGATGAGATTTTTTTTTAAAATTTTTGTCTGATATACAAAACATTTGGTGGGGGTTAACGATTTTCTATAAACTTTGTGATATTATTTTATAACGATTTTCTAAAAGCAAAACGATTTTCTAGAAGTTTACTGGTAAAATTCTAATTCATAGTTTCTTTGTTAAAGATATGCTTAAATAATTTCCATATTTTTTAGTGGATAGAATAATTATTAAAAAAGAAAGGGTTATCTCTTACTCTTTTTAGTCATTTACTCTAAACTCTTTTTAGTCATTTTTTTTGGTGGAAAGGTTAACGATTTTTTGTTTTCTTTTGGGAGAAAAAATTCAGACTTTTTTTTTTTTTACTTAATTTGGTTGTAACCTAGTTTTGGTGGGTGCTCCAATGCATAATAAAAATTTTTATGCTTTAAGATTTGGAGGTCAAATTCTAGCTTGTTTATAGGTTAAAAAGTAGCTAAATTTTGGTTTAACCATTACTTATTTTAGTGGGTGGAGTAACGATTTCCAAATATGGGATAACGGTGGCTGAATTGAAACTTCTGGAAGCCAGATAAAATTGTAGTAAGTTTGTTTCCTTGTAAAACTAACGACTTCCTTAATCGGGCGCACAATACAGTTTTAGCATTTGGAATTTTAAAATAAAAATGCATAGATTTATCAAGTGTTTATAAAAATCTGCTTTTGTCAGAATTTTTTTTCTGCAGGATATCTACCATGGGCTTATGCTGTCTTAACATTGACCAAAATTTAATGGCAATATTAAAATTTTCATTTTTTGAAAAATTTGTTGTGTACTTGTACTTCAAGAAGAAGATCGCAGATACCCACTCATGTGATTTATGATGTCAGTGCCAGCTGATCATTTATATGGAAAATAGCGTGTTAAAATTAAGCTATTTTTCTCCACGTAAGTCAGAATGATAATTAAAGTGAAGTTAATTAAATACTGCGTCGTATTGCACATCAAATTCGATGAAATGCAATTCTTTCTCCTCTTCGTCTTTTACTTAACTTAGAATATTTATTTGTGTATTTTATTGTAACCATGATATAGTTTTGTTTAATGTACCTGACAACTTCGATGCATAATTAGTTTGTTTATGTTCTTTACGTCTTCGTTCCTATCTCTGTGCTAAATAAGAAATATGTAAGGAGAATTAAAATATTTGCGTGAGAATGTAGAATGCGTCACTTAAGAGAATTGATACTTGACGGGATTGGCTTACTCGCAACAGAATGGAAAGAGCACAGTTGCTAACAAATACCAATAAACAAATGCCAAGTTTGGTCAACAACCAAATTAGATCAAGATCAAGATTAGATCAATATTACGTCACTTGCAGGTATCCCTTTAGCTAAAACTTATTTTAGTCATAACTTTTCGTTTGAATAGCTAACGGAAAGCTTTGGTGATCGAGCGTGAGCTCACGATTTGGTACAATAGGCTAATGTTTTTGAACAAAATTCAAACTTCTGATTTTTTTTTGTGTGTGGCTAAAAATCAGTTTTTGTCGTTCGTCGTATTATTATTATTATTATTTTTTTTTTGAAGTGTTGACTAAGCAATTACTTTTTATAAGGGTAAAAATGAGAATCTCCATAAACTAATACTTCAAAACAAAATATGTAAATTTAGTTTAAAAGTTAGCTCTAATCAATGAAAAGATGTAAAAAAAATGCAAAAAGTTTAAAAGATGTAAAAAGTTTAGTGAGCAAACTTGGGATTCCGGAAGTTAGTCCACTTAGTAAGTTGATGAGTAAGTCGTGAAGCTAGAACTACGAGGTGAGATTTTGAGTTTGATTTCAGAGTGGTCGATTTTTTAAGAATTAACTGAAAAAGCAGTTTTGGTCCTAATTTTGATTGGGAATGAAGGCTTTTTTCAAACAATTTTATACAGCAGGCCCTTGCTTTGGGGTAAAACTGAAACTTGTAGCATCCATGTCAAAAATAAGTTTACATTTGCTTTGGCTATAGTAAACTGACTGGAAAAAAAATCTCAAAACCAAGAAATAGATAAACTAAATTTGATGGGCTTGTTTGTACAACTTAAAGATTATGTCCATTCAGATTTCGCGCTAAGCGTATAAGTTTGGTGCTACTAGCGCCACTGTGAACATGCAAATCAGGGTTGCTTTAAATACCTGTTCAACAGTTCGTAAACATTATTTTTCGTAAGCTTTTGACTTAGTAAGTTGATGTTAGGGAATAATGCCTTTCAGAAGACCTTATCTTAACCCAGCTCCGTGATCTTAATACAGCTCTCACGATAACTCGAAAAAGACGGTGATCTTAATACAGCTCTCTCGGCTTCTCACAAAACCGCAATTAATCAACTGGTGCTATTCATTCATCGAATTCTATCACAGATATAATTCTGGTGGGGAAGTACTGTAGTGTATCTACCACAACAAAAATATAATTATAATTCACTCGTATATAATACATCTCAGCTAGATTCTATGGTGGGGTACCTTTCACATTGGATGGTCCACATTGAGCAGTTGACTTTGCTACATATGACCGCGACATTTTCCTCCTCACACTGTTGCTTCTCAGTCTCGATCACATAACGTACAGCGTATACACTCAACTGCTAGAGGCAACACAGGAGCGATCACGACCGTGAACTTAATACAGCTCTCAAGATCAGCACTCAAAAAGTGCGGTGATCTTAATACAGCTCTCCCGGTTTCTCATAAAGCATCCATGAATCAACTAGTGGTATCCGTTCATCGAATTCTATCGCAGATATAACAACTACAACGCACTACAATGAAATTTTATTTTTAATTTTGGAACTGCTTTTTTTGTGGTTCTTATTATTTTGTTTTTCTGCTGAACACATCATAAATATTTTATGCCAAATTTGAAACACATTATGTATAAATTGCAAATAAATGTAAATTTTATTTATTAAATGCCTTTATTCACAAAGCTATTCATTTCATTTCAATCCTACGCCTAATTTTCAACGACGAGAAATCTGATTGACGTTTTTTTTTTAAGTTGTTTCACAGACGTCTTTTAAGATTCACCTCGTGTTTTATCCATTAGGCCATTTGGGATTATCCATAATTAAGTTATTAGAAAGCTTCTAGTAGACGTCAATATTTGATCGATGATGCCTAATGGATAACGTGGATGAGTTCTGGACGTTTGCAGGATTAATTTTACTGTATGGAAATAAAATATTATTTAGAAATAAAATTCCGATTTTTTTGGACAAAAATTAGCTATTATTTAACTAGGATGTTTAACATTTTGTTGGCTGAAATAGGTTAACGATTTGCTTGCTTCGGTTAGCGTATGAAAGCGAATTTCAATCTCGGTTAAAAAATAATTTTCCAAATCATTTTTTGATAAAATTTGACAGTTGGGCTAAAGAAAATTCGCGATCGCAACGCTCGAGTACTCCATCTAGCGGGAGCCTGTAAATATCAGACATTATTTTATCACGTTTTCATTTAGTTCCATCAAAATCCTTGGCCATGACGGACGCCATTTTCTTAGCAGCAAATAAAAATAAAAATTTCCCTAAGGAAAAGCTGAAGAACTTGAAAAACTAACCAGAACATGCCAAACATTGAAGCAGAACACGCCAAGCATTTGAAGAACAATTTCTCCATAATTTTTACCTTTCTATTACCAACAACATAACTTACAATTTGATGATCACTTGCTGTTACAGATGTGTATATTACGGTAAAATAATTTTTTCTGTCTTCAATTCATTACAAATTAAAATGAAGTCAACATTGCTTTCGTCATTCCAATAAA